TTCGGTGTTTTTCTTTTAATTTTCCGGGCACTTTCGAAAATCGAAGTTACTATTAACCGTCTATCTCAGACGTTTTTAACAGCGTGACCCTCTTGTGATAACGGAATTCAAACATATGATCCATTTTGATAAAAATGAAACGAATGATCCTATTTGAAAACGGGTTCAAGCACAAGTATGTTTTCCGTACTTTTCCCAAAAGAATATCAATTTGCATGTTTTTATCTTTCGTATAACATCTAATCTTTTTTTTTAAAGAAAAACGTCAATCTTATAAGAGTAAATCATTTGCCAAATGGCTTACAATAAGTGTCGGGGGCAAATGAAATTTACTATCACCACTACCCGTAGGAATAGCGAAATGAGCCAAAGTATGAGCTATTCTAGCGAAATGAAATTTACTATCACCACTACCACTTGACTTGGATATCCACGCTTTCCATTGCGAATTTCTTTATATCGTCATAAATAACCCAAATTTGAATTCTTGCTATTGTCAAAGCCGCATTGTCATATGAAGAAATTCGGCTTATGACAATAGCAGGGATCCACTTGCTAACGGTTCACTTTGGAGTTTGGATCCCTGCTATTGTCAAAGCCGCATCTGTCTCAATAATTAATTTACTCCAACTATTCTCTCTAGCTCACAAGATAACTTCTCTCACTCCTTAAGCCTCTGCTACTTCCGGGGACCAACCAACTTTGACCACCCCAAGTGCGTGCTTTAATAAATTTTCAATCGCTAATACGACATACCCAACCCCAAGACCACATCCCAATCTTTGGATATGTGATGCATCTACATCTAAATCAATAACACATATTTTAAATGAGTTTTTTATTATACATATGCAATGTTAAGCATTTTATAATTAATCATAATAATCTACGCTTACCTGATAGTTAATGTTGGCTGAAAATGAAGCTTTATCCAATGAAGATTAATACGGAGTAATATAGTACTCCATAATAATATGTGCTTACTTGATAGTTAAATGTTGGCTGAAAAATAAAGATTTATCCTTTAAAGAGGGGGATAATATCGTTCTCTTTTTCATAGATATTAGTATGTATACCCGTGCAGTGCATAGTGAAAGTACATCATGATATATTTTTCTCATGAACAAAATAGAAATGGAAAGTAGAATTAAGAAAAAGTAATAGTGAATAAGAAGAAAATGCACAAAATGGATAAACACCTTAATCTCATTGCAAGTGTTTTAGTTTGCGCTATCATGGTTAGGGGTGAGGATGAAATGACACGTGTTGCGAGACAGTTCTCTTAAAGAACTTGTCACATCCCAAACTATGATTCTTTAAAAATTTAGGTCTCGTGTTCTCCCAAATGGCCAGATATATGTACCACCTTGCCTATTCCAAAGAAGATTAGGTCTCTGATGAGTTCGCCCAAAAGCTTAGCCATACCACTACCCCATCGCCACGGAACCCTCGCCGCACCCCACCAGCAACGACAGACCCAAATGGGAGTCACGTCCATGCCCACCGAGATGGCAGATCCGACACCGATGACCCCAAATCATAGTTGTCGTCCTCCAACGATGGCAGATCCGACATCGACGGCCCTAAATCGCATTCGCCGTCCATCCAAGCGGCGGCTCCAGCATTGTCGGCCATCTAGGACGACGTATAAGCTAACATAGGCGCGGGCATCGACCATCAACCAGCGGAGGCGCGACCATCAACCAGCGGAGGCGCGACCATCGGACAATGAGGATGACGAGTAACAATTGCAGAAGTTAGGGCAGAGCACGGGTTGGGTTCGGGCGGGTCGGGTTCAAAAATGGTAAACCCGTTCGGATATCGGATTGATAATTTCAAACCCTACCATATCAAAAAATTTATCGGTTTTTTCGGGTTGCGGTCGGGTAGATACGGTTTTCGGGTCCATTCGGATTTTAATTTATTATTGTTGAAATTGTGATAACTAAAATGGTAATTGGTAAAAATATCATTCAAAGTTATACTAGTATAACATTCAAAGTAATAGTTGTATAAATACGGTAATCAACATATTTGAACATGTAAAATAATAATATACGGTGATTGACATATTTGATATTGTGATAAATACAATGATAATTGGTCAAAATATCATTCAAAGTCATAACAATACAACATTCAAAGTTATAGTTGTACAAATACGGTAATTGGAATATTTGAACATGCATAATATGGTAATTGTCATACAATAATTGAGATATTTGAAAATGCATAATAATTCAAATATGTATATATACTACACTAGTTCAGTTTTTCAGGCGGGTCGGGTAGCATAATTGGTAACCCTACCCGCTACCCGCTTAAGTCTCGGGTTGCAAAAATCGGATCGAGCTTGGGTATTTCGGGTCGGGTTTTCCGACCTCAACAAAAAAATCGGATACATCCGATAGGGTCAATCAGGTAGGGTCGGGTTTGCTCTCCCCTAACAGCGGTGAAGAAGAAATGAGACGAAGAAGAAGAGAGCGGTGGTTGGAGAGCATCCGCAGTTGGAGAGCGACGGCGGCTGGAGAGTGGTGGCGGCAGAGAGAATAGCGCCGCACGACATTGTCACATATCTGAATGGAAGGGAAGAAGACGCATCAAACAAAGTGGGTAGAGAGAGGACGGGGGCGAGGTCGGCGAAGCTAGCCCAGGGCGAGGGCAGTGGCGAGGATTCATCTACGGAGGCGATGGCGATGGGCTGGGAGGTCTTCTCTGCTTGCGACGTTCCTTTCTTCCAGCGCAGAAGGTCTTGAAACGCAGAAGGAAAACAGGAAGATTCCGGTCACTTTTTGGTCAGAAAAAATTTGGTCATTATTTTTTAAATCAAATGAGGTGCATGGGGATTTTAAGTAAATCACTGGTTTCAATCATATTTGAATCCAAAACATGTGTAATCTTTTTGGTAAAATGAAAGGTTAATTACCTAAATAGGAGTAAAATGTAGTCAATAATCACAAATAGGACTATTGTTTTTAACTCACTAAATAATTCCTAAAACGAGAGCTTCTCTCCCTAGAATGGGTTTCCGTCGTTAGGGTTTTTTCCTCTGCTATCGTTTGTAACGAGGAGGAGCCGCCGCAAGCGGGCTTAGACGTACAAGATTTCTTCTTCAGCCATCAATTGTGCCGCTATTTATCTTTTTTTTTGCTTTGGCGAGATCAAGCGGAGGGAAGAGGGTGTTTGATCTCCAGCAGCCAAAGGTTGTGCAGAGACGAAAGACATATGCTTGGTCTCTGGCGGCCAAAGGTCGTGGACGAAGCGTGGGTTAGAGGCTGGAACATAACTGGATTCGAAGTCATTCGTGATAGGTGATGACAAAGGAGGCTTGGTAGAGAACATGATGAACAAGAGGCAAGGTGAGGAAGCGGCTAGCCGGCTACAGTACTACGTGATCGTCCCCCTCCTGAATTTGCTTGCTATTTATTTTTCATGATCAGACTGTTTATTTTTCTGTTAGTTACATTTATTGTTGTAAGACTCTTGCATTAGGATTAGGTGATGGGAGGTCTGCTTTAACCGTCGTTGGCTCATTCGCCCATTATAGGATCAACTAGTCATATTGCTTTTTGAACGTGATTAACTTTAAGTCTGCTTCGAGGGCTGATGGTTGTTTGTGGTCCTTTTTCGTTTTATCCCCTGTCCGAATGATTCGATATCCATTTAAGTCATCTGCTTTGACGATAAAAAAACTCACTAATAGGACTAATTATGTGTATTTGGACAAATATACCCTTGTAACTATTGCAATGTTTTATTACATAATAAAATCATAAAAAAATAATAATAAATCGTAAAAAATAAAAAAAAATAAAAATATTTATAAATAAAAAAAATAAAAACAAAAACTCAAAAATTAAAAAAAGCATAAAAAAATCACCGGTGCCTCTGCCATCCCATTACCACCACCTCCGGACACCGGAAAAATAGTAATGCCATATTAATGGCAGATTCAATGAAAATTTTGGCATTATCAAAGTGTAATATGTCATTTTTGGCATTTTCAGAAAAAATTACATTTTTTACACGATCGGAGGTGATGGTGCAGAGAGGAAGTACAAGCGGTAGGAAAGGCATCCATTTTTGGGGATTTTTACTAGTTTTATTAATTTTTAAATTTTATTTTTTTAAATAAATTAATTTTTATTATATAAATATTTTTTAATTTTTATTATTTTTCTTCGATTTTTATTATTTTTTAGGATTTTATTATGAATTAAAACATTTTATTAAACATTTTATTAACACATTTAAACTCGACATAAGTGTTGAGTTTAGCTATTGTAAACGAGAGGCAAATCACTTGGCTCATACTCTAGTTAGAACAATAGCATCTATGCCGAGTTGTCGTTTTATTTACACAGGATTAGATTAATGATAATGCAGCAAATTTACTTTCAAAAAAAAAACAAATCTTTTACTCCTATTTAAAGGAGGGGTAAGAATGAAATGAAAAAATACGTGTGTTTTCAAATAGGAGTAATATGGTCCTATTTTGAAATAAAAACATAAGAAATCCTATTTTTTAGTTTTACCCTAGCTTTACTCCTATTTGGGGTAATTTATACTAAAAAGAACTATAATCCTTTGAACAAAATTTGTTTTAGATTCAGGAATTAAAGTCTTTATTTAATACTCTGTATATCATATGTGTATTAGACTATTAGGGGTGGACTGGTCCGGTTCTGACCGGCCCGGACCGCCACTGTGCGGTACCGGACCGGCTGACAGGGCCCGAGACCGGGCCTTGGGCCCGAACCGGGGGTTGGGGGGGTTGGGGTGGGCTACGGGTCGCAGAACACGAAGACCGGCCCGGTCGGTCCAGGACCCGGCCTGGTCCCGGGCCCAACCCGGGCCCGGTCCATCACTAATGTGTATCATCTTTTTGCAGTCATTTCCAGTTAAGAGAATAACTGGAAAGAAAGGCATTGTTCAGGCTTAAGGGTGGACCGGGCCAAATGTCCCTTCAGTTTGGGGGTTTGATAACGTTTTTGCAGATCTGTAGAGAAGGGAATGGGATCACCATAGCATAACTGCATAACAAGTCTTACAATGGCCGAGTTCTCAGAAGGGTCAACTTGTGAATCAACATGCCATCTGAACTATTAGTGGAGTAACTCCATGGTAGCCGGATCCAAAGTTCCAAACCGGAATAAAGAACACTGCGATTTGGTCATATCTAGAAGAAACATCTCATTGGTGGTCTATTACAAGAGCATGCAGAGCTCATCTAATAAAATCTTTAAGGCTTCGATACAACAAACATGGCAATATCTCTATTTCACTAGGAACTTACAATAAAATACATTATTAAAAAATTATAGAAAAAACTGGACCTTTGGTCTGATGCATCATTTCCCCTTGTCGTCCTACTTCCTCAATTCTCCCTGCCACTTTCATGGCCAGCTTCTTGAGCTTCATTGCCGAGAGGTTGGTCAGGTTCTTTCTTCAGCTCTGTTTCAAATTCTTTTGCTGCCTGCAAGCAATTTGGATACACTGAGACTCTTCGAAATATTACCACTCCTTTTGTCCCATATTAAAGCCTACGTTTCGGTTTACGATGTCTCGCTGATAGTAAAGTTGTTTCTCTTAAATCCTAATTAAATTAGTACTCCGTATTAATGATTAAAAATCTAAACACTTAGAAATAACAATTAAAGTTTCTATTGAAGCCTACGTTTCGGTTTACGATGTCTCGCTGATAGTAAAGTTGTTTCTCTTAAATCCTAATTAAATTAGTACTCCGTATTAATGATTAAAAATCTAAACACATAGAAATAACAATTAAAGTTTCTATTGAACTGCAAAACCCATATGGCTGTACCTGAATACTATAAAAGTTTGATGTACAAAAATCAGATATTAAAATAAAGTTAATCGTGCGAGTAGTGTATGAGCACCTGATCCCGGCAAAGAGAGAGTAACCTGTAAAGGAGTATGTAGGCAAAGAATGCCACCTTTACACACTCTAAACTGTTGCACAGAAGTGTTAAAAATAAAACCCTAGATCTTAACGTCTCCTAAATAAGATCAACCAATTTCTTATTCTGAATCACAAAACAACGAAGACTATCTTTAGTTTTAGAAACATGCACACATATATAGAGACCAGATCTTGTGAGAAACATAATTTAGGAGCAAAACAAGGGCAAATTTGGACAATTGGATAATTTGATCCAATAGATGAAAATGCAATGACATTTTGTGAACGAGTGCACTTCCGCTATAGAGCACATTTAGTTATTAGCAATGCATATTTGGAAGTTCAACTTATTTATGAAAATAATGTCATGTTCTCATTTTCAGAAAACACAGTGCACATTTATTTCATCGTCAATCCACATTTAGTTATTCAGTGATACAATGTTGAAGTAAAAAACACCATATTTGTCCCTTTTCAATGTTGTAAACTGAACTGCACATTAAGTTCATCGTTAATGCAAATTTAGTTATTCAAACATGCAAGTTTCTTAATTGAGCACTTCAGTGAAGAGTTCTAATAATTCATGGAGGAATGCAACTATGGAATTGCATATTTGCATTATCAACGGTTTAGATCTGTCCCTAACTTCTACGTAATAACATAATGTATGTTCTCACTTGATTTGATTCATCCATTATGTGTGTGTGTGAACGCACACACACACACTCCAAAGAGATATTCATTCATGACTATTCTTTGTTAACAGTTAATTTAAAATTAAATTTTATGACCATTTTGAATTTCTCGTAACCATTGAAACTATTTTGCGGGGTTCTTTGCATAGAACATCCCATAGGCAGAAGCCTGTACTAAGTTTTATATACTCACTCCTTTCATTAAGTGATACACTTTCGTTTTGTGGATGTTTTTAATTACTTTCTCCACTTTTCCTTATCGGTAAATATGATCTCATCATATGACAATGATGTTTCTACTTTTTCATCTCTCTCCTCTACTTTTATTACTTTAGCATCTTCTGTTCCCTGCCCTTTCACTTTTATAGAGTATTCAATACCCCTACAATTTTGCTCATAAAAGTTGCGTTTTTTTTGGAAATGTAGAAATACTCCAGAAGTAGTATCAATAATATGAACAAAAACATCAATTGGTAATGTTATGATTAATGCTTGGAACAGCACATTTATGCTTAGACTCTTCACTAGTATGTAAACCAGATGTACAAGAATCAAAAGGCAGCAAAATACTACACTTCCATGGCAGGAGAACAAAAACATGAATGCCACTTCCATCCTATGCAGATAAACACGAAAGCTATCACTGTGCAGTGTATATTAATAAGCTCTAACAAACAAAGTTAGAATGTTGATATGCCCTAATCAACAGAGTTAGAATGTTGATATGCCCTAATCTACAATTTCTAGTAGAACCGGTGTACAAAAAGAGAATCATTTTTAAGCGTTCTTTGTTCGGCATATTTTAATTCGTCTAGGAAACCAAAGGAAGTCCAATTAAAATTTGAAAAGCACCCCTCTGATGCAGATTGGGGTTTTTAATTACATGGGTTTATTGGTAGTAAAAAACTAAAAAACTTATTTTAACGTTCAACTTGTAAGTGCAGTCAGATTCTTCATTCTCCCAAAGGTTTTTACTTTCCTTCTGCAATGCAAAGTGATTACAAGAAATTAAAAGCATATATTTTCTCAATCAGAATCCTGGTGATTAATATGAACATCCTAGAAACCAAAAGCATAAAATTTCTCAATCAAAACTTGAGCCACCGGCCAAAACCAATTAGTCCGTCCATTTTCTTGTTGTTTTTTATCGAAAAAGTCTAGTACTAAAATATATGCAGTCTTACAAACCAAGGTAAGATTAATTGTTTCTTTTATAGATTATACACTAAAGCATCAATCATTATTATCCATATTTAATAAGAGAGAATGTATTCACTTGTTTTTTTCCGTAAAATAGTGAAGAAGTGAAGAACTTATTGTTTTCCTTCTATGTGTGACAATACAATATCAATTACTCCATCCATTTTCAATATCCCTTTTTATAGACAAAATCTAGTCTAAAATATGTGTAACCTTGAGAACAAAGGTAAGATAATTGTTCCTTTTAGATTATACACTAAAGCATCCATAAATATATTCAGTATTAATAAGAGGCATTGTATTCATTTGTTCATTTTTTTTTATCTAAGAGTTTGAAGAACTTTATGTCTCTCTATGCGTGACAACACAAATATTTGAGAACGCAGATACACTCCGCTTTCACTCTTTTATGTGCAGAATTATAGACAGACACATAGAAATTCCTAAAAAAAACGAGCAGCCTTTAGTTGGGTTGGGTAGAGAAGCAACGAACCTGTTGGAAGCCCTTGATAGTCTTGCCAATACTGCGGCCAATTTCGGGCAACTGCTTAGGGCCAAAGAGAAGGGCGGCGACACCACCGATTACCGCCAGCTCCGGTACCCCAAGCCCAAACAAGCAGTTGCAAGAAAGACGCTTTCTGCCATTACTCCTAACTTTAGCAGCTCTCTGGCCATAAATTCCTTTCAGTCCGGTCCTGTTGCCGCTGAAGAAGAGTGACCCCGACGAAGAAACCGCAGCCGATGAAGAAGCACGGATCTGCACAAATGATGGCGAGACAGCGGATGCTGCCGATGTGATGACTGCCATTTCCAAAAACTTGTAGCAAAGGAAAATGGCCGAGATTTTTTTGTTTCGTTTCGTAATATAGGTAGATAAAAAACAAGATTGGATGGTACGGAAAAGATAAACTTTGTAGTAACAAGAGGGAAAAGATCTAATAAAGAAAAGTACGTAGTTGTTTGATAAAAAACCAACTATTTGGTTTAGCTCTGTTTGGTATACAAACGATTAGGACTAATTAATGCTAGAAGCTACGGACTTATCTGAAATGCTACTCATTGTAGCATCTAAAAAAAATCTTTTATTTTTATAAAAGCTCTTAAAAATTGACGTACTAAATATACAACTATAAATTTTTAAAGACTTTTTAAATAATATAAAAGCTAGAAAGCAGGAACTTATATCGGCAAACATAGCCTATATCTCGTGGATATTATGCTCGTAGTCATCATTGCTGGATAAATTTAATTTTAATAAAGATGAGTCAAACTAGCATTCTTAAATAATCCCACCGGAATTTCATATGGAGTATCATTTAGGGTGTGTTTGGGAGTTGAGTTTTGGAGGGAGAGGAAGGTTAATGGGGTTTATGACCCTCCTTTTCATGTTTGGGAGTTTAGAAAAATTGGAGGGGTGGTTTTGGAGGGCTTTTGTAACCCTTCAAAACCTTCCAAATGCTTAATTTTTAAGTTCCCCTAATTTGGAGGGTTTTGGAGGATAATTAACGAGCTGATAATTTAAGCTAAATTAGAAACGAATATCAGCTCAATGATTTGAATTCATCATATCTCAAAGTGATTTTAATTATAATTCCTTCAAAAACCCTCTTCTTCCAATTTTATTACTCCCAAATACAAAGAAGGACTTCCTCACCATCCCCTCCAACAACATACCTCCAAAGTTTCCCCTCTCCTTCCCTCCAAACTCACGAACATACCCTTAAGAAAATGTAGAGGTTTTAATACCCTATCAATACTACGTACCTTATTAAAGTGTTTTACGGCTGTTTTAAGAGTATATTCATTTTCAGCAAAAAAGAGTAAAAAAAAAAAAAGTGAAACTGATTAAAAGAAATGAAATAATTATAGATAAGTGAGACAAGTATTTAAAAATGAATAGAATAGCTATATACGTAAAGTCGTGAAGATAATAGGAAATACGAGGTAACATTTTAGAGCATGATTCTTTTTAGTGATTATTATATGAAAAAATACCGAATAGGAAAAAAAATTGTATTTTCTTATAAGAAATTTAGTTTTTGGAAAGTAAAATTTAGACTATCCAATGAAAAAATAGATTATTTTGTGTAATAAAAAAATTAAAAAACATTTTTAAAAACATTGCTTAGCCCTTTTGGCATTTAGAAAAAAAAATAACTAATATTATTTCTAATAAAATTGGTGGACAAAAATGTGACTTGATAATTTCTAGTGGTTATAATTGTACTAAAAGTTACCATAGTGTAGTGATTATATTGTGATCTTTGAAAATAATTAGTCACTAAAAATTATCAAATCATTTTTTTATCTATAACTTTTTATTAGTAATATTTTTGAAAAAATCACTTTAGAAAAATCTAATAAGATCGCATCGTTTTCAATTCTTTTGAAGTAAAAAATTGAAAAGCGCTTCTTTTATAATCCTTCGTGTTGTAAAACACTTTTTAAAAAGTAGAAGAAAGTGTTTGCCAAAAAAGTAGTAGAAAGCACTTTTAGGGAAGGACCTTTACCTATAAAAAAGGGAAAGGGCCTTTATTGTCCGACAAAAAAAAAAGAATGACACTCCATCTCTGAGGACCCCCAACCCCGATCGAACGGTACGTTGGAAGGATGTAAATTGAACTATAATCACAATCTGATAGATGGAGAGTGGAGCTCTGTCCCAGATACTTGCAGAAGCCATATGCATTTTAACATAGTAACCTCTCTTGCCAGAATTCGAACCCGAGACCTAACCCTTGTGGCACTCTCTTGATACCATTTGAGCTACGCGCCTACGCCCACCCGTAACCTTTATTGTCCGACTATGAAACAGACTAGTCCAGACTCCAGAATCGGGACTGGAATATGAATGAGTTCATCCATTAAACTATTGTTAATATTCACCACAACTATATATGTTGAGAAGGATTAGGTTATAGCATACATTGAAATTTCAAAGCAGCGAGTGAGCGAAGTATTCCTCCAAGAAAAACCTTGATGTATTATCAAAAAAGTGAAAACATATTTATTTGCCCTAATGGGTCAAAGACACTATTCCTTCATATTTAACTTTAAATAAATTAAAAAACAAAAACAAAAACAAAAACTCAGTTACACTATGAAAGGTGAAGCAACTACAATCACTTCAAAGATTCTAGGACTGCAAAGACCCCCTCCCCCCAGACTGCCCCAGTAACAACGCATATGCAATAGAGCCTCACCATTTGCATACAATTTCGGCACTAACAGATTTTATCTTCTAATTATATCCCTTAGCTTCAAGCAGTTTACAAGAGTGAGTGTTCTCCCTTGCACAATACCTTACCCAAAAGTTGAAATATGGGTAGGGACGTCTTCAAAACAAAGCGTGGGTTTTCTTACGACTCATTCAATGACTTATGATATGCAACCTGCAAAAGGGAAATAATAGCTAAGGAACTAGCACACAAATTAATATCCACACAAAGCAGTAGAATAAGAATTATTTCATACTCCCTCCGTTCTTAAATATGATTCCTCTTAGGCTTTGGCACGGGTTTTAAGAGGAAAATAATAGGGGTAGTGTAAAAGGTGTAGTGGGTTGTGGGTAAATGAAAAAGTAGGAAAGAGAAATGTGTAATAGTAATAAAAGTGGGGGTATAAAGGTATTTTGATTGAAAAAACTTACCAAAAAGGGAAAGAGGGACAAATAATTAAAAACGTCCCAAAAAGGAATGCGAGACAGTTAATAAAGAACGGAGGGAGTATCACTTTGGTTAGCAATTTAGCACCAAACCAAATACCTCAAGTCCTCAATGCCAAATGGCAGGAATTGAATGACACCGTTTTTAATAGAAGAATTTGTATACTACTGCATATCCCAATTTGTCGCCATAAGGGCGCACTTCAAACGCAACCTTAGGCAGTTACTTTTCTTCTTTTATCAGGAAGAGCAGGGGGGTGCACTCATAAATCCACCACGGAATATATCATGTGCAAAATTATTTAATTTTCTTAGAAAAAGGCCAGTCTACCCACTTTCTACTCGAAACCCAGTTTCAGAACTCAAATAAAAATGTGATCTTCAGAAAGCTTGGCAGTTCAAAAGAATACGTACAGAAGTAGATGTTCGCAGTAGCTCCCTCACAGCCATGGTTGCATAGCAAGAAGCAGGCAGGGTAAAGCTCATTTTGAGAGCCGTTTGACTTCCCTGAGAAATAGAACTGTCCAAATGCTCCCCATATTCTGACACTCCTCTGCTCTTATTATTATCCCGGTCTTCAGGTTCTGCACCTGGTTTCTGTTCATGTATGTTCTCAACTTCGACGTTCATTGACTCTGTTATAATACCAATTGGAGCTTCCTCATCTTTTGATGATTCTGAACCCTTGATTTGGCTAGTCTGCAATGACTTGGCAATAACATCCCAATCTGTTTCTACCAGAGGTTGTGTACCATCAGTGTAAGAAAGCAATTTCCTGCAAGGGATATAAATAGCTTGTACCATAACTACAGATACAACTTCTAGAAACATTTCGATAAGAACAAGTGATAATTACACTCATATTGTGCGAAAGTGATCCTACCATTCAAACTCTTTTGGTTTTTGGAAAACACGCCTATAACCACCGGTCATATTGGTTATTGAAAACTCCCTGCAGAAAGTTATAACATCATTCAGAGCAATGCATACAAGTAGCAAAACAGCAATAAAAACCCATGAAAGAGACACTTCATAGTTAGGCACTCACACAAGAGGCTTCTCCATATAAATAATAATGATGCGATGAAAATAATTGCAAGAGGGCAGGTCAAGAGCGCTTTTCCAGATCAAAATGAATAAAGATTTACAATGGAAGCAAACATGGTTGAAAATTTCATATGGATCACTTGTTGGAACCATCTAGAACGTACTACTCCCTCCTGTCCTAAATTATGTCAACCATTTTGATATTTTGTTGTCCATTTTATGTATCTATTTAGCAAATATATGGTGCATTGATTATTTTTCCCAATTCTACCCACTCTTAAACTTTAATATGCCATATTGAACTCTAAAAAATTTATGAATTAATAAAGAAGGGTAATTTTGGTAGTATGATAGTATCCGAGAATCAGATAAGTTGTGATTGATTCGCAAATCAATCTGATTTTCTTAAGATCAGTGCAGCAGGGAATGTGAAATCAGAATAATGTGTTTTCGATAAAGTGGACAGTTAAATAAAGCTAAAGGAGTAGTTCATGTTGTAAAGATAAACCGATTTGGTATGTGTGTACAAAATCGTTTTCTATTTTCTATTGGAAAGTAAGTATAGAACAGCTCATGAAAACATTAACTCATTACATCTTAAATAAGTTAGAAGCCAAATGTTACTCACTTGACATTGTGCACACACTCCGTTAATTTGATGCCATCCTGCCCAAGAAAGAAAACTGACTTTTACATGCACGCAAAGCGGATATTCAGGGAATACACAGTGCCAACTAGTGGCAGAGCAGATAGGAAATGATAACCTGGTTTGCATACATAATAATGTGTCTCCTCTCATCCCTTATATATTATTTCTCATTTTGTTGAAGCCTTGGAAGGCAATAAATTCATAATTGGTCAGTGTTGGATCAGCTTAGTGTGATGCATCCCTCTTTCTTGACATAGTGTGCACTTACGTAGGAGATAATGACAGTCAACTATCAAATGGTGTGTATTAATTTATTTGTACCAAGGTTGTCAAAACTTATGGATGCTCAATTAGTGCTGGTCCAACACTTGTCATTGCATTCAGCAAGTGTTGCTCAGAGTCTCAGACACAAGTTTTGTGTAGTATAAATATAATAGGAGAAATGAATAAGTAAGGGTATGTGATTGACTTGGGTCTTAAGGTGCATAACAAAATATAGAAGTTGAAGTGACCCATATCAGGTTATGAATTCATCACCTTTAGA